GAGCGCCCGCGCACGGGGCGCGGGGAGGGCCGCCGCCAGCCCTGCTTTGGGGCCGGGGCTCTCCACTCGCGAGCACAAAGCGGCCCTTGTGGCCGGCCGGGGGCAGGCGGGCTGCTGGGAGGCGCGGAGGGATGCAGCCGTGCCCCGTACCGGGGAAGCGAAGGGCAGCGGAAGGCGCGAGACCCCTAGCCTTGCCTGGAGCCAACGCTTGGGGCTACGGCGACTGCGTCCGGGGGGCTCGTCTCTTGGAACGGCGCGAGACCCAGGACCCCAGAGCGAATCCCAGAGGTGCTCGGTGCCTAGGCCAACCGCCTTCCTTTAAGGATGTTGCCCCTCCGCTCTCTCCCCCAGGCCACTGCAACCCGAGGGGAGACCCGCGTCCCACGCCTCGCGCCCCACCTGGGATTTCCCCGTCTGATTCCTTCTGCCTGGCTTTATCCCGCGGTTTACAAACACTTCGAGCCTCGCACTCCCCTAGCTGTGGAGCGTTCTGGAGCGGAGGGCAGTCTCCATGAGGTCGCCTTAAGCAGACACTGCCATGGCTGGCGGCTGCGTGAGGAGCCCTCAGTTACCTGCTTTACGTTTTCGGATTCGGGAGAGGGCTGGACCTGGCCGTCAGGAGTCCCCAGGGGCAGGACACGCTGTTTGGCGCTACCTTCTCCCATCCTCCTCCCTCCCCTCACCCCCGAATGCAGGAAGCTCCAGACTTTCTCCTTTCTTCCTTTCCTTTAGGAAATAATTGTGTGGCGTGCTCTATTCACTTTCAAGCCGGAGATACTTGGTTGCTCTTGTGAGCCAAGTGGTTGCCTGGCTGCCCGAGGAGAGGACTGTTCCTCCTACGGTGTCTCATTTACATGAAGAAGGTGGAGGTTTACATCTGGAGAGCGGAGGAAGGGTCTGAGCAAACAAAAATGTCGTTCAGGTCCTAATTCAAACTTAATACTGTAGCAAGGTTTCTTTGATGGGAAAAGAATCACTCCAGAGCTTGGAATCGAACCGGTGCCCATCACTGATGTTTTTATGCGACCCCAGGGAAATGCAAAGAGGAGATGCAGCCTGCATCGCTCATGGGAGCACAGTACGTTGTTGTCAACGGCCCCCTGCTTTACAAGGACTGTCCTTTAGTTTGAAGTTATCCCCTTTTTATTGTTTGGTGGGAAAAGTTTTTAAATACTTTTTGGTGATAATAGGTTGTAGTTTTTACTTTTGGCAAAATGAAAAACAATCTGGCAATCCTATATTAATTTCCTCTTCCCTTTTTTTCTGTTTGTTTCTTTTGTTTTATTTTTAAATCTTAGTGTTCTGGGAAATCCAAAAGTTTGGGAACTGCTAAAGGAGATGGCTTATAAGTTCCCTTCCAGTTTGACATTCTCTGATTCTAATAAAAACTCAAATATTTACAGTTGCAAAGAATTTAGAAAATACATTATTTACTATTTGCATGGAGATTTCTCTTTTTCAGTGTTCATGTATATCTCACAATAATCTCCATTTTTTAGATGAGCCCAGGAGGGTGAAGTTACTTGCCCACTCTCCCCCCACCCCCTTAGGTTGGGAGTGGTGGGCCAGGACCAGGACTTTTTGGTCCAGTGCCCTTTGACCTACATGACTCAGCTTAGGTGGGGGAAAGCATTGAGCCCTGGTGGTTTATTTCCAACTCCTTCAGGGTACCCTTTCCCAGTGCCCAACTCTATGACCATAGGTTTATCTTCTGCCACTTCTTAGAGCCCAGCCAGCCCCCAGGGGTCAGCAGGGTGGTAGAGCAAGCAGGGTGACCAGCCTCCAGACTTGGCTAACTCCCTCTTTGTGCATTGGAGCTTCTCAGGTATAGAAGGGGCAGACTCACGTTTGTGTGATTTCTCCTGATTTCCCAAAGTTGCAGAGCCAACTTCAAACATGATTTTTTCCTCTTCTCGCCTTTCCCTTTTCTTTTTTTCTTGAAGCATTGCAGGTACTTTATCCAGAGCTTGTTTCTGTCTTACTACCAGAAACATGTTTTGAAAGAAAAACTTTAGTTAGCCAGAGAAAAGAAAGAGGTGACCTTCAGGGTCATGCCTGCCTGGGTGTCCCTGGACCAGTGGCCAAGTTGCTCCCTCTATTGCTTTCACCACACTTTCATCTCTGTACTGAATGCAGCAGGAAACTGGCCTTAAGTTTAAGGGGATCACTTCAGACAAGTCCCTGGCCAGCTGACAACCCGCCCCCTGTGCCAAAGTTATCTCCTGCTCTTCTTATTCTCCCATGGCTGAGAGTCTCCAGACAGGACCCAGCACATGATCTTCCCACAAAACCAGGGAGGGGTCTCAATGGGGTGAGGTCTTCGTGGCCCTTGCTCTCTAAGAAGACAGAGGAACATGGTTTTGATCCGCTGCATGACTGGAGTCCTGTTTACTATCATAGCTTTTTTTTTTTTTAAAGCAATTAAATGATCTTCTAGTGAAAGCCCTGCAGATTAGAATGCTCTAAATCTAAGAGAGCCCTTTATTTTATTCAGTGGACTCAGTTGGCAGCAACCCCTGTACCCCTTTCTCTCTCTGCACCCCAACTATATTTTCCGTGGTCGGTGTGGGGCTGTTGGAATTTGGCTGAGTTTATAGCTCTCTTCAGGTAACCAAACATGGGTTTAGAAGAGACAGGACAATGAAATGTAAACATGGGCTTGGTTTGCACTCTGCTATTTACCTATGGATTTACATTTTAACTCCGTCATCCATGAGTTGGGGCTTTTTATAAAGGGGATTGAGGCATAGGAAGGCAGGGTCTAATTAGCTCTGATTAGTATTCCTCTCCTGCTTGTTCTCCATGCTTATTTAGCTACTGAGGCAACAGAGAATTAAAATATCTAAGTAGTTTGGCAAAAAGCCCTTTGTGCCTGCCTGCCCTGGTAACTACTTTTTCTTCTTCGGTTTGGTTGTGGAAATATTCTACAAAGTTTTAATGATATCAGTATTGTGGGACAATTACACAGTACCTAAATAATAGGGCTCCTTTCACATGGCAGTGTGCAGCTGGGTTAATGGTATGGGGTCTCTTTTCACAGGTATTTTCAGTTGGCTGGGGCTGAGGGCTTTAGAAAGCCCACTGCCCTGGTTTGTTTTCCTTTTTTCCAATCGGAATGGGATTAGTGGCCTTTGTAAATGTAAAGGAATGCTTTATTTACAGGCGCCTATTTGTTTGTGAGGCTTCTTCTTGCTTCCGCTGAATGCAGGGTTTGATTCCTGGGCCACAGGGTAGAAAGTTGGATCCTCCCTGGTGGCTGAGGCTTTGAGGGCTGTAGTGTGGCCTGCCGCCTCGTGTTGGATCGATCTCTCCCCCTGCCAGAGCTTTTCAGAGGTGGTTGTTTGTCTCTTACAGAGCTGGGACCTATTTCTGCACTTGTTCCCTTAGTCATTCTCAACTCTCACTTAGAGTGATCCTGTTAAAACTCAAGTCAGACCATGTCACTCTGTTTAAAAACTTCCAGTGGCCAGGACTCTGAACTCTGCCCCCACTTCCCTGGCTTTCTCTCACCATTTCCCCCTCGCGTACTTCGTCCCAGCAACACCATCCTTCCAGCACGCCAGCTGCGCCCCCGCTGCAGGCCCTTCCCTCTGCCTGGAAGACTCTCCTCCCAGACACCTGCATGGCTGGCCTCCACCCTGCTGGCC